CGGGGAAAAGTGGCAGAGAGAAAGAGAGGCTCTGAACTCTGAGCTGGGACTGAAAGATGGAGAGATAGGGGCTCTGAAAAACAGGATGGACGGATTGGCGAAAGAAAATGAAAAGCTCGCAGCCCTGATTGGTGAAAAGGACAGAGATGTGGAGAGGCTGTTATCAGAAATCAGGAGTCTGGAGTCGCAGATGCAAGAAGTGAAAGCTGAGATGGAACAATGGAGGGAGAGAGTGACGGACATTGAGAGAGAGAAGGAGGGACTTTTGGAAAGAGTGACGCAAGACGGCGAAGATCTGAAAATAATTGAAAAGGAGAATGCCAAGATGGCTGACATTTTAAAGCTGAGGGACAGCGAGATAGAAAAGAATGGTGAAAGCATAGAAGAATTAATCGAGAACATGAGATTGCAGGACAGCTTAATAGAAAAACTGAAAAGAGAGCTTAAAGAAAAAGAGATTGGGATAGCTGCGAAAATGCACAAAGAGGAAATAAAGCAGAAAGAAAGGGAGGCAGAGGAGAGAGAAAAAGAACTGAAGCTGAAAGGAGAGCTCAAAAAGAAAGAAAGCGAATTAGAAAGACTCAAAGACAATGTGGAAGAATTGAAGGTGGAGAAGCAACACATGTCTCGTCTTCTGCAGGAGAGAGATACTTACCTAGAAGAGCTTAAGAACAAAGTGATAGATCTGGAACAGACAGATAGAGAAACGCAAGATGAGATTGAGTGGTGGAAGAAAAAGGCTGGGGATGTGGCGAGAGAAAAAGACGTGCTAATAGAGAGAGTGGAAAACCACATTTCTGTTGAACAAGCGAGGGATGAATTACTGAGAGAAAGAGACGAAGAGATCAAAAAACTGAAGCAAAATGAACACGATCTGGTGAGTGACCATGAGAGGATGAAGGAGGAGCACAGAGAACAAGAGACACAGTTGAAGCGGCGAGATAGAGAGGTAGAAGAATATAAAAGTACAATAGTCGGGATGATGAAGGAAAAAAACGAGCAAGAGAAATGGAAAAGGCAGCTAGAGGAATTGAAAAAAGAAAAGATGAGTCTGGAAGAAAAGAGGAATCAACTGGAGGCAGGAGAAGAGAAGATGAAGGAGGAGATTAATGTGCTTAGAGTGAAGATTGGTGAGCTGGATAGAGAGAACAGAGAAGTTGAAAGGAGAGTCCTAGAGCAAAAGGATCAACTCCAAATCCAGGCTGTTCTTCTGAAAGAAAGAGAGATAGAGGTGTACAGAATGAGAGAGACTTTAGACCAAAAAGAACGGCAGGAAAATGAGGAGCTGATGACGTTAAAAGAAAAACTGAAGGAAACCGAATGGGTTCAGGTAAAAGAAAGAGATACACGAAAGGAATATGATCAAAAACTCCAGCTGGCAAGAGATAAAATAGATCAAGTGGAAGGAAAAGTGAAAGAACTGGAAGTAAAGAACAAAAGTTTGACACAAGAGGCAGACGTGGCGAGAAAGAAACTTGGAGAGCAGTTGAGAGAATTGGAGACCAAGTCAAGGCTTCTGCAAGAAAATGAAGAAAATGTTAAGAGACTAAAATGGAGAGTGGAGAGTGGGGAAGAGGAAAAGGAACAACTGAAGAGCTCTCTCAAGGAAACGAAGGGAGAGATGGAGAGGCTGACGATGGAACTGAAAGGAAGAAAAGAGGAGGAAGAAACGTTGAGGTTGGAGGAAGAAACGTTGAGGTTGGAGCTAGAGCAACAAATTCGAGATATGGGAGAAGACTTGAGGAGGAGAGATGGAGTTATCGATGCGTTGAAGGAGAAAACAGATTTCATTCTAAAGCAAAAAGAAGAGGAGCTAAAAGACGCGAAGAAAAATAAAGATGCAATGTCGACCGAGGTGACAAAGCTAAGAGAGGAAGTAACCGTGCTTTCTATGAGCAAAGAGAAGGCAGAAACAATGGTGAAGGAACGGGATAAAGAGAACAGAAAGATAAAAGATGGACTAAAAGCTGGATTGGAAGAGATGGTCACTCTGAAGGAGCTGCTAGAGGAAAGCCATTGTGAAGGAGAAAAACTCAGGAAGATCTTAGAGGAGAAAAAGAATGAGATGATAAAGGGAAGAAAGGAGGAGGTCAGAGCAGCACGAGAAGAAACGGAATACCTAAAACTCAGAGTTCAGATACTCCAGAAGGAGAATCAAGAACTTCGGGCACAGCTGTGGATCAGGGAGGAAAATGACATTAAGATGAACTGTGAAGTTAAAGACATAAGGAAAATGGAGCCCGAGGTGCAGGAGACCCTGAAAATGACACTGGAGGAAGATGAGGAAAATAAAAGACAAAGTGAGCTGAAGGATAATAGTCTTGAACTCATTAGTGAGAAACTGAAAGCAGAGGAGAGTGAGATCCACAGAGTGAAGAACACCTTGGAAAGTAAAATGGAAAAGAAAAAAACAAGCTTTGAACTTGTCGGCGACGAACTGGGAGAGAAGAGGGAACCTGACACTATGGAGAAGGAAGCGGAGGCAAATGAGAAGATAAAACACGTCGAAAAACAAAGTGTTAAAAAAATCACGTTTGCTACGGGAATTCTTCCTGAAAAAGAAACGGAGCTGAGAATAATTCCGGAATTTAAAGAGGAAAATGCAAGGCATCTGTTAAGGGAACAACTCGGGGACGCACAAATGGAGACAGACATTTCGAAAAGGCAGATGGAAGGAGAAAAACAAAATGTAATGACAAATCTGGGGGAAAATATACTTGTGGAGAAGATACACAGCCAGTTTCGAAAGAACTTTACAATAGTAAATGCACAGACAAAAAAGGACTTTCAAATGAAGGAATCACAAAGTCCGACTCGAATGACAGAGAATGTAGAATTACAAGCAGAGGTGTATGATTTGAAGAAGGAAGCAGACGAGCTCAGGAAAGACAGAGATCGCTTAAGAACAGCACTGGAAAGAAATGAGGCAATGCTAATTCATTATCAAGAAAAAGCACATCAGCTGGAAAAAAAGGTGCAGGTGAGAACTTGCAATGAGAATATGCACTACATGACCAACAGTAAGACCAATCACACATATGTGCCTGTTGAACATCCCATTCCAGATTCAGTTCCCCCTTTGCACTTATAATAACCTCTACTCTTATGATAGACGTTTCCAATAGATTTTGGAGTGTGGCTGTGGAGATTTGCCCATTATTCTGCCACAAGAGCATTAGTGAGGTCAGGCGAGAAGGTCTGGGGCATGTCAGTGTTCCAGTTCATCCCAAAGGTGTTGAGGTTCATCCCACTGGGGTTGAAGTTCTGGAGGTCTTCCACTCCAACCTTGGCAAACCAGGTTTTCATGAACCTTGTGCACAGGGGCATTGTCTTGCTGGAATATGTTTGGAGGGAGAGCTACAGCAGACACTCTAGACAATTATGTGCTTTCAATTTTGTGGCAACTGTTTGGGGGAATTTTCACATATGCATATGATGGTCAGATGTTTTGGCCATATATCAGGTCCTAGCAGTGGAGCTAAGCATCAGCACCTATTACCTGGATACTATGGCACAAATTTACTAACATATGCAGTGCACAATAAGTGGTCGTCTTCATTTCTGTTAACTGGTTAACTGCCAAGAAATGTTGCATGTAAAGTCTAAAATTTTTATTTATAAAAGGTATGGCTAACATTTAAATGTTGCCTGCAAATGACCTGCAAATGTAATTTGTCTGTAATACTTAAGTGTTTGCTAGAAATAACTTGCAAGTATCATTGATATTTTAGTATCACAACACAGCTCACATAAAAGCATGACATTGCACTGTACGTAGCATGCACCATTTTATTGCTAGCATTGAAATAATCACTCCAATCTACAAGTGAAGGGCAGGGGCTGGTGATAGGACACTTTCCAGCCAAACTGCATTAGATCATTGGGTCCTGATGGCAATGTTGCAGGGATACACACTCTGGTTCCACTGTCTGTCCCCAACCTTCTCTGGGCTCAGGCCTCTAACCCAACGTTTGCGAGATGTAGACAAGCGGCCTTGTCTCCCCTGATGGTCAAGTCATCAGGTGGATAACTGGCACATCCTCTCTCCTTACACACAATGCTGTGGTCTAACAGTGAACTCAGAGTTTCTTAACACCAAATCAGGCCACAGGATTCACTGACAGTTGTAGCCACCCTGTCACCCCAATGTGTGGCAGACATTATTATGCTTGCCAAACAATGTGACCCAGGTTGCTACATCCAGTCTTGGCTCCTCTTGAGAATGCTAGTATTGTTGAGGGCAGCCACAGTGGTAATTCCCTTAGGCTTACTTGAACCACAAGCAATATAAACAGAGATGCATCTTTGTTATTTGCTTGCTGGTGATGCAGGTGGGGTCCACTTGGGAGCAGTACCCAATTGGAGAAGGACCCTTAACTTACTGGCCAGGGCAGTGGTAGCTCAGTGGTTAAGACGTTGGGCTACTGATCGGAAGGTCATGAGTTCAATCCCCAGCACTGCCAGGCTGCCACTGCTGGGCCCTTGAGCAAGGCCCTTAACCTTCAACTGCTGAGTTGTATAAATGAGATAAATGTAAGTTGCTCTGGATAAGGGCGTCTGCCAAATGCTGTAAATGTAAATGGCTGTGGTGCTACAGATGCACAGAGGGTATCTGGATCCCTGCTGTAAGATCAGAAGGTTATTAACCAGCTGAAAGCAGTCCATCTGGCCTTCAAGTAGTTCTTACCAGAATAGGGTAGCATAATATTGAGCATCTCTATGCATTGCATGGAATCTCCAGTGGCATCTGCACCAAGATGTGGTAACCCAGATCTAGGAAGGGTTTGGCAAAGTGCAGGTGGCTCTCTTCACTGATGCTAAGTCAAGACATTGATTCGACTGTGATTCTGCCTAGTAGAGCCTCACTATACACTTTCCTCCTTTACTGACTATTCTTTACTTAGAAGAATTTATTTGTCACTTTTACATGCATATCCCAGCTTGTTAGGAAGTTGAGCACAGGATTAGCCCTGGAGCAGAGAAGGTTAAGGGCCCAACAGTGGCAGCGTTGGGGCTTGAACCCCTGATCTTCTGAGCAGTAACCCAGAGCCCTAACCGTTGAGGCACCACTGCCCACAGGCTGCATCCTCAGTCAGCAAATGTTCTGTCCCAAATGTGTAACTCTATATATTCGCTGTGTGTTATTTACTGTGTTTATTATTTTGTAAGGTGGTGAGCAACTGTGAAGAAGAATCACAAGGGCGTGTGTGTGCCCTGCATAGAGCTGTGGCTGAGCTAGAACTGAAGCTAATGAAATTGCAACAGAGAAATGAACGGCTAGAACATCGTATTGAGAAGCTGAGATTGGAGAAAATGAACCTACGCGACACTTTAAAACAGGTAGAGTCAGGTCCACTAACAAAACCTCTATACATCTTTTGAAAACTGAAACAAATTTTTATGAATTTAAATTCTATTTATTGTCATTGTAATTGTAATGTCATGTACTTTTATGTATGATAACCTCTGTACAGTACTGTCACACAGTGTTAATTGTGTTGATATTCACTGAGTTATTATGCTCTTCTATGCATTGTTTGTTTTTTTTGGACTTATTGCTGGACTGCCAGTAGGCCAGACTAAATGATACGTTATCACTGACTGACTGACTCCCGGGACATATATCTAGTAGGTGGCTGGATCACCATTCACCTAGACCAGTCCATCCATAAACTTAAATAACAACAGTAATATGGATTTGCCTACAACTCTTCATATTTATGTTCTGAAAATTATAGATGAATTGCTTCTGTAGCCAGCATCAAAGGCAAATTCACCTGAAAAATAATTTGAAAAGGTTCGTCATAACCACCCTAGTCTCAAGACCTGCTTCTTCAGAAGAAAGATACAGACGCATAAACAAATTTCACTATTCCATCAAATAGTGGGGTAGAAAAAAAACTAGATTAACTCAGCCGTGATTATTTTTCTTATCCAACAGGTTGAGCTGGAGAGGGAGAAATTGAGATGTCACCTGTCACAGTCAGATGCTGAAATACAGGTATGGATAAAACAACTTATAGCAGGGATGGGTTGCAAGATAAATCATGTGAGCAGGACTATCACCAACTTCTACTGCTATAAAGGAAGCAAACGTTCTTCTTTCTCTTCACACAAGTATCTTAGGTGTACTTACTATAATCTAACACAAGGAGTGAAGTGATTTTTTTTTCATTATATCATTGATAAATGGCAAATTATACATAATGTATTTAATATGTCTGTTATACATACGTAATAATATACAAGAAAATGTGAACTAAAAAGTGTGAAAACAGAGTTTTTCTGTATCCCTTTAAGGATTGCAGCAATCCTTCTGGAGCTGATGAGCTGAGGTGTCTGAGAGCACGGGCAAGTGAACTGACTGCACAGGTTCGAGGAGATTTTTCCAAGAATACCTTATTTACAATCTGAAAATAATTAATTTAGGAGCTTTGTGCTCAAACGTGTTATAGGTTACTATTGTTTTTGTAGATTAAATCATTTATGAAGCGGTGACTCCGAAGAGTTAAGAACAGTGGACTTTTCAACCAGTCTGCATCTTCGGGTCTTGATTAATGGAGAGTTATACATTTAACATACAGTGTTTGTCAGCTTGCCTTGTCTGCAAATCCACAGGTCCACCAGTTACGACTGCTGCTGGCTTCAGATCATCAGGAACGGGCAGAATTTATTGACCAATCTTTGAGGAATAGTGAATCACTGCAGACACTGAGGCAGGACCTGAATGACTCTCTCACGCTGGTGTCCAAGCAGCTTGCCCCTTCGGTTTTGGAGTGTGAAACACAAAGACTGGACAGGAGTATAAGAGGAGAGCAGCTCAGGATTTTGCTCAGTCGTAGCTGATGAGCTAATGAGGTTTCCTAACTTTGCACATTTAATAAATAAACATTTAATAGTAGTGGTGTTACCACCTGGAACTGAAATTGACCTGTGATTACATGTCATGAATCTAAAAAAAAAAAAAAAAGCCAATAATATTGTTGAGGTGAATAATATAGTTTGCTAAAAATTATTTACATAAAACATAAAATGCTGTGATGGCAGAAGCATTCACCTCTGTTGCCATCAGAAGGCACATAATTAGGTGAATGGATTCGATCTGTGTGTCACATAATCTCAATACAACTACACCTGTCTCTGTAAGGTCCCAGAATTTGTTAGACAACATACCTAATCAAACAGGATCAGGAAGACCAAAGAGCTTTTTATTTATTGACTTATTTATTTATTTATTTATTAAATATCTCAAGCTTTGAACATTAACAAGTTATTAAAACTTGGAAAGAACACGGCATAACTGTGAATCTACCTAGAGGAGGCCATCCATCAAAAGTCAGTGACCAGCTAAAGAGGGAAATAGTCAGAAGAAGCCAAGGGTAACGCTTAACATGATGCTACCACCACCACATTTCACTGTGGGAATGGTGTTCTCAGGGTAACAAGCAGTGTTGGGTTTTTGACAAACATAACGCTTTGTGCCAAGGCCAAATTTTCAACTTTGGTGTCATCAGACCAAAGAACCTTTTTCCACATGGGTGAGTCTCCAAACATGCTTTTTGGCAAACACCAAGTGGGTTTTCATATGACCTCTCTCTCTTGTCATAAAATCCACTTTTATGGACTATCCATGCTATGGTGATCCTGTGAACAGCTTCTCCCATCTGAGCAATGGATCTCCAGTTGCTTCAGAGTTACTCTTGATCTCTTGGTTGCTTCTTTCACTAATGCTTTCTTTACCCTGTCACTGACTTTTGTTGGACGGCCTCCTCTAGGCAGAGTCGCAGTTGTCATATTATGTCCATGTTTTAAATAATGGATTCAATGCTGCTCTGCAGAATGATCAAAGTTTAGACGATTTTTAATAATATATTTTTTTTTATTAGAAGGGGTGGTGGTGAATACTTATGCAGTACATAGGCACTGTACCTGTAAGATTCAGTCATCTTATTTGTCAGTCTTATTTGTTACATTGGTCACGTTTACTGACTTCAACTATTTTAGCAGGGAGAAGCACATTTCTGTTATTTACTTAACCAAAGCTGTATTTGTGTATTTAATTATTTAGAACCATTTACGCAAGCAATTTTTTGAATTTGTAATATGTTTTTTTTTGTTGTTGTTTTTGTTTTTTTTTATTGTTCAGATGCTATTTGTAAAGTCTGCAAAAATAACTAAAAATGTGTTAAAAATAGTTCCCTTATTCTTTGTTTTCGGAAGGGTGACAGTGTGAAACTTAATACTGGGAGAGTTTGGCTTCGTAAAGCCACAGGGAACCTAACTGCTTTCCATTTAGGATAATGTTAATCTTGTGATCATACAGTATGTATGCTCACCAGCTGCTTTATTACAAACACCTGAACACTTTTTCATTCATGTAATTATCCAATCTGCCATCATGTGGCAGCAGCGCAATGCATAAAATCGTGCAAGCCAATAGCTTCAGTTGATGTTCACATCAGAAGAGTGGGGGTGGGAGGGGGATGTTGCATGTGCAGCAGGAGCAACGTGTAGCTCGACGGAGGAAGAGAACACAGAGTATTAGGTATGCTCTTATCCTGTAGTGGTTTAAGTGGATGTACATTGGATGTACACACATCCGAGTTAACCAAAACTCTCTATACCCATGAACCCTCCAGATCTGTGCCTTTACCTATAAGAAAACCTATTAACAAAAGGCTTGACTAAACAAATACATTTTCAGCCTAGACTTAAAAATCGAGACTGTGTCTGAGCCCCAAACACTAATTAGAACGCTGTTCGATGACTCTGGGGCTTTGTAAGAAGAAGCTCTGCCCCCTGCAGTTTTCGTAGTTATTCTAGGTACCAAAAAGAGGCTGCGTCTTTTGATCGAAGCAGATATGGCAGATTATAAAAGACCAAAATTTCACTCGGGTATTGTGGTGTTAGACCATTCAGTGCTTTATAGGTAATTAGTAGTATTTTATAATCAGTGCGAAATTTTACTGTGGGCCAATGCAGTGTAGATAAGCTAGGGGTGATGTGATCAAATTTTCAAGTTCTAGTAAGAACATTCTGCATTCTGGACTAACTGTAGCTTGTTTACACACCTACTGGAACATCCGTAAAGCAAGGTAAATATAATAATCCAACCTAGAAGTGACAAAACATGAACTAGTTTTCCTGCAGCAAATATTATATTCTTTCTTGTAGCACATCAGTATTATTTTTGCTATCTTCTATTAGGGTGGAGAGATATGCTGACCTAGCAGCATTAAGAGCCTTTCTATAGATAAGAATGGCAAATTTTACATACAGACACACACACAATGTTAAATGAGTAAAAGAATGTCTCACACACCATTTTCCCAAAACTTTCTATGTCCAAGAAGGGCTGTTTCAACACATTTAGACACACCAACACATTTTCTTTTGTCCAAATGGTGAGAGACAAATAAACACGTGCACACACATTGCCTGCTTTAGCTGGAGCCATTCTGTCCTGTCCCATAAACTGTTGCTCTCTTTACTTGGACTCACGCTATCCTGTTTGTGGATGGGAAGTAAATGTGTTTTCCATAAGTAAAAAAAATTTACATTGACGGACGGTCATTTTGCTAACTCCAAAAAGTTTCCCCTACTACTCTGTGTTTGCCACTACTCAGCGCAGGTTGCCAGATTGAACAGGGTGATGGAAATCCACTTTCGGATCGGAACCGGTGGTCGGTGGCAGCCTGCGATGGGCGCAACATTAGGACCAATTAATTGGCACAGCATCTCAAAAGTGGGCTGTGACAATTCTAAAATGTTGCAGCCAGAGACCTTCTGTGACTTTCTGGGCTATGCCAAAAGGGGAGTTACTTGGAGTTCTATCAGACAAGTAACTGCTCCATTCTGATGTTGTCTTATGATATTTCGTACAATTGCAATTATTTGTGATGGACCAATTTCAAAGTAGCTAATTGTCTCAATACTCTCTCCATTTTACAAAGATTTGAGGGCATGTGGGACGCAAAAGGTACACAAAATATATATGGTGATATACACAAAATTATGTATGGATGTTTCTCAACCCTGCCTTGCAGCCACATGGGGCCTGTTTCAATAAGGAGG